TTTAGATTTATTCCCTCTAGGCAATTGTTTTTTATATGACATCATGTCTATCTGTTCTTTCATTGTGAAACCACCCAGAGTTGTCCTAGAGTAGAGTGGCCTAGAAATTCAATGAATAAATAAACAAATGGTAATGATTAAGTGGATCTTCAGAGATTTTAATGAAAAGGTAAAGAGAATGCTTACCAACGTGGCAGATGATTCAAAATGGGGTGGGACAGTTAATAATTTTGAAAGACAAAAGCAATTTCAAAACCACCTTAATGGAATAGAGAAATGAGTTGAAAATAACAGAATGAAATTTAATAGACAAATGCATCAATCTTCACCCAAAAAAGAGAAATCTTTATAAATTGGATAATCTCACAATGTAGTTCTACTCTCCTATTTTTTGGAATTTCATTATATTGATATTTTGTATTAAATATTATCCTATTTGTATATTTAAATACCTTAATATTCCTTCCTCTTGCAAATAAAATCAATTATTTATAAATATTTATAAATACAGACTGTAAACTTGTTCTTTGCGTTGGGCTGCAAGTCTATTACAAATGAAAAATTACAAATGATGAAAAAGGAGTAATGCAAATTTGTGTCCTTGCTTTGAGAGCTGTGCAAAGCCTTTGAAAGCAGCAGAGTTTCTGAAGCAACTGTGTGTTTGAAGCACCTCATTCAAAGACTTCAAAAGCCTTGCTAGTTTACTACTTCTTCCTGTAATTTTGTGACCACAGTCTAATTGCCAACTACATTTAAGGAAGTCAAATGCCTCACCTAGAAGTTTATGAATTAGAGATACAGTTCTCAGAATCCTTAACTTAGGTAGTCAACAACATTATGGGAGGTATAGCTCCATCACATCTTCACAGCACCATGTTGGGACCGGCTGGTCTACAGCATGCAGCCATCTTAACATAATATATCTAGTTTACACCTACATTCTTTTTTCATAAAGTCACAACTGTGAGATGGCAGGTATATAAAATTGTTATAATAAATAAATAGATGTGTGTAATCTGGATTCTATAAATTAAGTGTGAAATGTGAGTATGACATCTTGCCACAGCAGAAATCTGGACTTGATGATGTGGTGGTTTCTTCTTGGGCAATTTTCCTGACTTTGACTTTCTAGAGTGCCCACTAGTACTGAGGTCAGCCTTCAGTCTTTTACTAAATTTATTTATTTAAATTGCCTGCCATACCTCCACTAAAAATTACCATTTTATGGTCCTGCTGTTATTATAGGCTGGCTGGGGAGATGCAGAGACAGGGGAGGACTCACTAGGAGCAATATTAAGGTAGCATGATTCAGCGGGAGAAAAATACACTCTAACAGTGCAAAGGACTCACTAAGGTCTGATCCACACAATCAGGTTGCCCCAGTGTAAGTATGGACCATTAACCTTTTCTCAATGGGAGGAACACACAGTGTCATCTTCTACTTGCCTCAGTCCACCAGGAAGACAACTTCTGCCTAAGAGTGGCAGTGGAGAACTCACCTGAGATTCCAAGAAACAAGTGTGCTTTCATATTAGCAGGGCTTAACAATCCACTTGTGGCTGATTTTTTATTTGACAAGATGTGGTTCCATTTAGAACACTGAAAGGTTCGAGGCTAGATGGAACCTCATTCACTTGGCAGTCTCTCCTTTCAAATACTCCTTATTTTCCTCTTCTTCCTCAGTGCAGAGGAAGATCTCTCTAAGCAAAACAACACCATTGGGTTAATCCTCATATATGGATTTGTTGGAGATGTTTCAAGATCAGTCCACTCTGAACATCTGTAAGGATGAAACAGATGCGTGGCAACCTACAGTGCCGTCCTTGGAGAAAGACAGGCTAAAAGTGTAAAAAATAACAGGGATAAAAACGAGGGAAATTTAAGTCAAATCTTAGAGTTTGCTTTTCCAAAACAGTCATCATAATTTTAAGCTAAAGTAACAGAAGGCTAGGCTTTGATTCCATATCTAAAAGAATAATTGGTTTTGATGCCCCCTTCAACCTTCCACTCCCTCCTTTAGTTTCACCCACACAGCTTCACTGTTCAGCTTTTGTGTGTCACTCTGTGGATGACAGCAAAACACCTTTCAGTGCTGAACTCTTTATGATATGCATTGTGATTGATGTAAGACTGCTAGAGGCAGATAATTTTCTTTTCAGTTTCTATATGCCATTTTTAATAGCCTTGCTGTACCTCCTGCTTCTCTTGCAGATAGAGATGTTATATATCTTACGAGGAGCTGTCTTGAGCTTGATTTCAAAATCAAATGCTGGTGAAGCAGCTGTTAATCTTCTCTTGTGCTGGTCCTGAATCTGAGACAGGACTAAACACACAACTGCTGAATGTGTACACACATGCATGTGTGTTTTAACTGTTCTAGCAACTTCAGGAAACTTTTCTTTATGTATGAAAACGTAGCTCCAAAGAATTTACTGAAGATCTTCAAACGGTTTAGAAAATATAAGCCAGTGAAATAAACCACATAAATTAACTAATCAATCTCTGGGATTTTTCCCATGTATCATTCTGACAGAGCAATGATGATAATTTCCATCAGCTTTCTTTAAAAATCACAATTACCAGGAAATTTGATGATTTATTATTGTATGTTCTGTCCAGGAAAAAGTAATATAGTTTTCAGCTATCTGAGAAATTCATATCTTCAGCCCTTTCATTCTATTTCCTCATTTTGCCTTGTCTCTTATCATCATTAGCTATTAATCATATGGGTTATGATAAACCATGACTAACTATTCAGCTAGTACGCTGGCTTGTGCTTCTGATTCTGAATATAGCATTAATTGATAACAAGAGGTATATGAATAAAGATTTCTACAAGTCACTGTTGAATTCATTTTAAAGATAAAAGGGAACTGCAGATAAAACAATCTTTATTTCAGTTTTTCTTCAGCTTACTTAAACCACTGTTCTGGGGTTGCAGAAGCCAGCTTTCATGGAACATGCTAAGACACAGTGTTGTCTGTTTTGTGGTTTAGAATAGGACTACTCTACTTTATCTGGGCAGCAAAATCCAGATGACCCCTGTATGTCAATAGAGAGCCAAACACTCTCTCTTTGGTGATATCTAGAAGTTGTCTAGCTACTAAACGTTGTAGCCTCAGGAGGTGCAAATCCCTGTGGTGGTCCTGCTTAGAGCATTGTGTGAATCTAGCCCTCATAGTTTCTGAGCCATGTTTATCATTCTACTTGCTGGGCAAATTAAACCAGCTGTAATTCGCTTGCAATCACATGTCCTGTGAATACAGCTGAAATATTTTTTCCCTGTTCAGATATGGATTAACTACTGTACAAAGAATCCTACAGAGCAGAATTCCAGATCTGCTGTACTTTAGAACAACCTGAAGTAATGTACATATATTAACCTGTTGTAGGAAAGGGCTAGAAACAAATCCAAATAATTCACATATTTATCCTTTCCTAGCAGTGGGAATTTGAGCATCTTTTAGAATACCTTTTCCTACCTGGAGTCTTCCAGCTATGTTAGACTTCAACTCCCAGAATTCCCTTCAACCTTGCTGGCTAAACATTTTGGGAAAGTCCAACACATCTGGAGGGCACTAAGTTGGTGAAAGCTGCTTCACAGAATTATTTTTAATTAAGAGGAAAAAAAATAAGTGAATCTTAGGGCCAAATCAAATAGAGCTTAGTTAGGCAAATCCCACTGTCTAGAAATGAATTTAAGATCATTAGCTTTTGGAAGACTCAAGGCATATTTTTAGAGTTATTTTCCCAGTTAGCTATCCTAATTATTCTCTAGAATTCACAGTTATACTGGGTCAATAGGGTGCAAGGAGAAACAGATTGGTGATGTCAAATTCAGTCTAGTTCTCTCATCAATAAGATCAGCAAGATCATATTTATGCATTTCAAGTACTGCTGCCCTGTTTTCACAAGCAACACATAGACCTGTGTAAGCAACAGGAAAAAGAATAAGAAAAGGAAGCAAACTCAGGGTCCATTTCTGATAGCTGGAAATTCTCCCAGTGATCAGCTTGAATGGAAACACCTTAGAGCTGGTCCCTCCTAAAAGCTAATGAGAAATGATTGCTGGAGGGCAGAGGTGGGATGGATGGAGCACCAGATGGAGGCAGTCTCTCTCTTCAGAATGTATTTATTTAGATGTATATCCCTCCTGTTTTGTGGCTTAGAGTTGCTCTAAGATCATATATTGCTCATTAAGAATGCCTACTGCTGGCTCTATCTCCAGCATTTAGAATCTATTACATATCAAGAATGGCGCATGCAGGATGGCCAAAAATTGTGATTATATAAGGACAAAGTTTTTGTGCTGATTTGTAGGAATGAATGACTTTTATATGTGGTCTATCAACATTTGAATGTTGATGTTTTGTTCTGACAAAGAGGCAAGGAAGAAGTCTTTTGGGCAATTTGTTCAAATTTTGTTCATGAGTTAAATTTCAAGCACATTTTGCCTCCTTACCTGCCTTCCTTCCTTCCCTCTCTCTCTCTCTCTTTTTGGGGAGGGAGGAGGGAAAGAGAATAAATGTTAGTGTTATATAAACAGAGTTAACATAGTAAGATATATAATTTTCCCTCTTTTTTTGTTCACTAGTTTGAGAAAATAAATATATTTTTAAAAAGAAAATAAGTACCCCTGGATTGATAGAGGGCACTCCTTGTGTAACTGTATTGAAATACAATTTCAATCAGATTTTTATTTATTTATTTATTTATTTTTGTGAAATGTGAAAGATCCATCTAGTTCTCTAAGAGCACAAGGCATTTTGGGCAATGGTAATGCTGATGATTCCTGTACACAAGGTCTCCCTGTTATGAGCCTTTGCTTAAGCTAAAAATAATGAGTTATCACTTAAGCTATTTGCCATATAAATTCCATATACAGTAAATGCAAAGAGGTTGGCATTATATGGGCCAAATGGACAGCAGGAAGTATGAATGTGATAGAAATATAATAAAAATATATCTCTTTCAATGTAGCTTATTCAGATATTTTGCAGGGCATCCCAGATATTTCAATCAGCTTTCAACTGGATTGGATATGGTTGGATTAGCTGCAGACTGGCTAACTTCTACAGCTAACACTAATATGTAAGTATGTAAATTGACTAATAAGATCCTTTTAAGCTTCATTAACTCAGAAATTAGATTGTTTTCAGAAATAAAGTACACTATATTGCTGTCTATGCACAATATTTGGTTTTTTTTAACTAGCAACTATAAAAAAAATCCTCATTGCCAGTGTTCCTCTGTTTTTGCATGCATGCAAACTCATGGGTGTTCATGGATGAGAGCTGGTCTAAAGGTTATTTTAATTCAGGTGTAATGCTCACATAGCAGAGTTATATAAAGGTTTTCACTATTTGAGGAATAGTTATTTCTGGTTCATTGACTTGGAGAGGATTAACTAAAACTTGCGTTCAATTCATAAGTGATAAGGAATAAAACCCAGTTACCAAACATGCTTGCATTCATAATTAATAAACAATAATTAATCAGATAAAACAATATTCAAAGAGATTTTACAGAGATCAAAATAACTGGACTCTCATATTACCAACATCAGTAGATAGGTTAGCATTCAAATTTTGCATACTTCTGTCTAAGAAAGAAGAAAAGAAAGAGGAAAAAAAAGGGGTAGCGTTTAGCATGTATGGTTTGAAAAATGGTTCTATAGAAACACCGATGGTTGCATAGCTGCACAGATAAACAGAAGCTTGATTGCTAGTGAAAACATGAAGAGCGGGTATGAAATTGATAAACTTAAAGGAGGCAAATAGGAAAAACAGAGCAATTTGTACCTGTCTAGAAAAGATAGAATAAAAGAGGGCTCCACTGCTGAATTGTTCACAGAAAGTTGGGAAAGTCATATATGGTCACTTTACTTTGGGGTTGTTTTTCCACCAAGATTTTAGACTGGTCAATTCAAAGGTTCGCCTTGTTATATACACCAACAAGAAGGTATATACATCACACCCATTGAACTATCTGTTGGAGAAATTCCCCAAATGAAATAAGCAGTGATATGCTGGCTTCTCTTCTTCTTGCTCTGACAGGGCTATTTTGGGAGTTGTAGTCTCAAGCATATCTGGAGGGCATCAGAAATTGCTTTAAAGATCTAAGGCAGGAACTGGGTTATTCCATCAGTGCTTTTAATTAGTTGATAAGATGCAGATATTGCTATGTTCCAGGTTCACCTATGAAATTGCTCCTGTGTTTGTACTGTTGGAATATGTCACATTAAGAAAAATGAGAGAAATAATTGGTTGGCCAGGAGGTTCTGGTGATGGAATCTTTTCACCTGGTGAGTGATGCTTCTTTGTGCATTGATGCTTATGACATACAACATCTTTTGAAGGCAATCTAATGTGAGAAGCAGGTTGCATCCATGTTCAAGTGAGCTCTTGCTCTTAATATTCTCTCTGGTATATAAAAAAGATTGCATATTTATGTCAATCCAGAGACTTTACTGCCTGTTCTTGCAGAAAGCTCCTTTAAGCAAATTGTGCTGCTTTATAAAGAATCAAAGTGGCAGTTTGAGAACATGTAATCAAATGAGATATCTGCCCCTTAGTCCCATGCTGCGCAATATTTGGTCACTTTTTTATACAAGAAATTATAGAAGAAATCACAATAATGAATAATGAGGTCAGGCTGTTGTAGGCCTAGTCAATGAAGACAGCAGTATGGGTATTGGAAAAGCTAATGTTGTTCTCCTTTAGGGAATCTGAACAAGCATATTTTGTTTGCTTAATGATATAAGCGATTTATCAAAGCTATTACAGTTACACGAAGCCATAATGTGGCCTTTTGCTTTGGCTTAACATGTAAAGTGAATCAATTAGGATTTATTCCACAAACTATTATTTAAAGCAATGACTTATTCCAGTGTGAATCCAGTTTAAATGAGACTGTTGGGTTAGAGATTCAACTAACAGAAATCTCTTTAAAAGAATTATGTAGCAGAAGAAATCAAAGTTCATACTTTTTTTTTTAAAAGCAGGACCCGAATCTACTTGCCAGAGTCAGATGTAAAACAGTGCAAAATGCAAAATGAAGATGGAAGATGGAAGCTATTTTGTACTGCAAATGTTTAAACACACAATGAATCATCAAAATATACAAATACACATCTGGGTCTGAATAACTATAAATTGGGGATTCTTTCAGCTCAGTTCAGGAGAAGAAATGTTTTGTTACTGTCTTCTCTGCCTGAAAGAAACTCTGGCTGATCCATTGAGAGACGGTGTCCTTTATGACTATATTGAACATATTCTTTCATCTTTGGTCAGTGAAGAATAGGAACACAGAATGTACACTCTAGAACAGTGTTTCTCAACCTCATCAGCTTTAAGATGTGTGGACTTCAATTCCCAGAATTCCCCTAGCCAGAAAGAAGTCCTCACACGTTAAAGTCAATGAGGATGAGAAATACAGATGTAGAAGTAGGACAATAAGTTGTCCTAGGTCAGACTCTCTATCCCTTCAATATCGAGCTAAGGCATCAAGTCTAGAACACCAAGATAAGAGATTAAGGGAAGGTGATAGGAAAATAAAAGGAATGGCATTAAATCTTCCAAATTCTTCCTAAGAAGTTTAGTGAAAGGGTCATTAAGGAGATAGATTCAAGCAAGAGTCAAGCAACAGTAGAATGTGGTTTTACAGTATTTATATTGCTTTGTCTTCTATTTGTTATCTGCCTTCAAAATTCAGCAGATGAGTGGCAGGGTATAAACTGAATGAGTGAGAGCTTCCAATACGTGTAGTAGGATTAAGCCCTGATAAAAACGTCTGCTTTGAAAAAGGTTCTTACAACAAGTGTAGTTTGTATGTGAATTGTGAATAAAAAAAGTAACAGTCTGTTACTGTGGACTCCAGGTGGTGCCATATCTAACATGTATGCTATGTTGATTGCACGTTTCAAGATGTTCCCAGAAGTTAAAGAGAAAGGAATGGCAGCTATTCCAAGGCTGGTTGCCTTCACTTCAGAACATGTAGGTGCTTCTCTGTTATCCATTTTGCTTGTCTTGCCTATTGCTAATAATATAGTTGCTTTCTTTCTATAACGTTTATCCTTCCTTCAGATGCTTGTTTATTACTTTCCACACAGGGGATCCCATGTCATAACTAATGACTCCTTCTTTCTGAAATGCATTATATAGTGAAGTTATGTTGCATGGATCTACTCAATCTAGTGAAGTCCTTTACAGAGCTGTATTTTATATACATATAGACTCAAAGACAAGACAATGACTGACTGAAAGTCACCTGATAGGTTTTGCGGATGAATGTGAATTTGAAATTTAGCCTCCATTTACATGAGCACTTGGCAAACTTTTGATGCTCAAGAGCTGCATTTAGTATTTCTTTTGAGCGGCTGGGGCCTACAGTAGATGAGGTAATGATGCAAAGTGGTCAGGCTAGGATTTTCTGGAGCAATTTCTTGTGTTCCGAGGGTGATGTAACAGGGGAATTTCAGGATTTTCTTTTTCTTTTCTGAATTTTTTGCAGGGCTTAGACTACAGTTTCTGTATGATTCTCTTCTCCATGCCACCAATTTTCAACAGTGGTGGTCAGAGATGATCTGAGGGTCATGAGAAAGGGGTTTCAGGGGCTTCATAACGCCCAAGGTGCCTAATGCTGATTAGGTCAATTGAATATCACTTCTGTGAAATCCATTGTGAGGACAATTGTAGCAATATGATTGGCATAAACAAGAAGACTTAGAATTCAATACTCTTTGTCTACATCAAGTCAGCAATTTTCTAAACAATTGTGCTAGGTAACTCAGGGCCTGGGTTTGAACACCATGGTCATCTTGGAGTTGGATAGTTTGAGGGTCAGCGTGTTAGGGGAACCATACTATCCATTAAGCTGCTATATAATTTATTTGTTTGGGCTTAGCATGTTATGTGGACAGAGCAATTGTGTTTTCTTAACCCAATCAAAATACTATGTGAATCCAGCCAGGGTGCAGCTATAGGACTGACACACCAATACGTGGTTGCTCAAGGTCCTCTTTGATTTATTCACAAAGGACAGAGATCTAAATGTTTTCCCCATTTTAGATTAGGGGTTGACACCCCGCATCCAGAGCCACATGCAATCCCTAAAGCCCATTGATGCAGCCCCAAGTTCCTAATCAGGCACGTCAATTTTGGCTGTACAGTTTTGGGTCAGGAAACACATGAAAATTGTAATATAAACTCTAAAATACATTTAACATAATGAAAAGAAGAAGAAAGCTCCAATCCCATCTAAGCAATTCAGAAAAAAAATGCAAAAAATAGACCATGCAGTGTTTCTTGGAACCTAGAAATTTTAAATATGGCTCATGGCTATCAAAAAATTGGCCATTGATTGTTAAGATGTTTGGTTGCTGTACCACAGTAGGTCTGCAAGATAAAGACGTATTCAGAAAGTATTACAGTGTCAGTCTGAGACAACAGAGGATGGGCCACAGCCTTCTTATCTGTGACCACCTCCATTTTCAGGAATTTGAGTGGGGCTACCACATACTTTCTCAAATTTTCAAGGCCAAAGACTAAATTTCCCCAATTTCTCCTGATAAGACTGTTTCAGATTAATATATATTTGGTTGAGGAAGAATTGTAAATAGTGAGGCCAAAGGGAAACAAAATAATAGAATTCAGCTTACCCACTGCCCAAGGTTTGTGCTGTCAACAACTGCTGTCCTTACTGTATCTTCTGCAGTTCACTTACGATTCCACTACTTGACTAGGCTTGTTCTGTAGCTCAGGACAACACTTTATGCATCTGATGAAATGGACAGTAGTCCATGAAAGCTTCTATCATAATGCTTTAAGGTCTTCCAGGTGAGACTGCATTTTGCATTCATTTACAAATCCCTGAAAGAATTACCCCCAACATTTCGTAAGTTTGCAAAGAAAACAAATGCAAGATCATTATTTTCACAGGAGAAATATATTGGCACATTATTTCCATGTACAAAATAACCCATGTACTTTTTCAGAGTCATTTTTCAGTGAAGAAGGGAGCAGCAGCCTTAGGAATTGGTACTGACAGTGTGATTTTGATCAGGTGTGATGAAAGGTAAGCAGAACTTTAATTTAGTCAAAGGTCAGCACCATTTTCAGGCTGCTCTACACTCATAACACAAATCAAACAAATTATCCTGAGAGATTTCATGCAATTTCAGCATTCTTATGTGGGATTGCCAAAATCTCGTAAGAGTTTACCCTTTTGTAAGAAGTTGGCAATTTTCTATTAATTGTTTCATTTATGGGTACAATAGATATATTTTAAAAAGGAAGCAACCTGTTTTTGAATACTGCAGATTTTTTTTCTTTTGAATAAGCTGCCTTGGGATGAACGTTTGCCCAGAAAGTTGGCTTAGAAATATTTAAATTGCCATATTTACTTGTCATTATAAAATGGCACTTTCCTGTATTTGATCTAATGTCCTGTTGCACTTCTTATGGCCACTGAAAGTGGTTTAAGGTAGGAATTGTTGCCAGTACTGTGAATTCAGTTACCCACAGCCCCTGCTCATGAATAATCTGCATGTGTTTTTGTAATTCTTAAAGCTTGAATACCGGAAAACCCGCTGTCATCCCTTTGCACCTACCAAGCCTTCAGGGAACTGTTGTTAGTGCCCTGGGCAAATAAGGTGACTTAACTCTCCTTACATATGGGGGAGAAGGTTTTTCAGGTAGTAGCAACTCAGTTGTGGAAAATCTTCCCAGAGAGGGATATCTTGGTGCTAATTTTATAGGCTATTTTGATACCATTTCTTTTAGTCTGAGTGTCTCAGTTCAGAGACCATAATTTAATTGTGATTCAGGTTTAACAGTACTTCTTGTTTATATTGTGTTGTTTATAAGATACCCAGAGAACATGGGTTATGGGACAACTATAAAAATATAGTAAGCAAAACATACAAAGAAGCAGTCAATCTATAGATATCAAGAAGAACAGCAATGCCTCCAACTGCTGTTTTCTTCTTTACTAAACAGTTATTTTAAGTATGATTTTTGTAAAAGCGTGTTATTCCAATGGTTAACATGGCCACTAAATTATTTTGAGATAATATACTGGAAGAGTAGAGTGGAGGTGGCAGTGTTGTCTGCAGGGAAGGGATCAAGAAAATCAAGATGGTGATCGCAGCAGTGGTCAGAGCACTTACGAAAAGTCATGTCTCTCTTGACTCTTCCCAAGGATACTGCTGGGGAATTAAATCCAGACTTTTCATGTCTGGGACAGATTCCCTGAAATCAGAGGAATTCAGTTAAAATTCAGTTCAGAACCATTGATTTCCATGCCTGGCCTAAGCATGGCTTATCTAGATCTAATTCTTTATATGGTTTTTTCCTTAACTTCGGAAAGTTCTGTAAGTGACATGATGGTATTATTATTATATTCTATAAGGAGATAACAATCTTCAGATAAGCCAGTATAATGGACAGTCTATTTAATAGTCTGAGAAAGCAGCCGTTGTAATGTTACTTTCATAAAAATAATATTCAGTTTAAAACACCAGAGCTGATATACTGTTACATAAAATGGCTTATGGCTTTCTACTCAACTTGCTATATACAGTATTTAAAATGGTGCAATCTTTTAATTAAATAAAATTACAAATACATGAGCTCAAAGAACTGATTGGAAGATTAAGTACGTTGGTTTAAGCAATTAGTGGATTTTTAAAAATACTTTATTGATTAGCCATTAGGCCATATCAGAATGCAAAATATGAAATACAGAACAGTAATAAGACCATATGTTAAAAAACAGAGTAAAAGACATAAGTAAAAGAAAATGTAAATCATATTTCTGTGTCACCCCTATAATTTGCCCCAATCAGATCCACAATCATCAGTTGTACTGTTTTGTTCAAATAAAGGGCCGTATTATATGTAATTTTTGGATTCTGACCACATAGGAAATATATTGTTTTAATATAAGGATCCCAACAGCATGTTTGTCTAATGTGTGGTCCAAGATACTGATCTCTCTTTCTTATGCAATTAACATTCAAATACACACACACACACACACTTTCCTTATGTTGAAAATTCCATTTCTCTGCATCCTACAGTGGTACAGTGCTTGGAAGCTGTGTAATTTGCTTCATCTGAATGTCTAGCTCAGATTCTATTAAAATCTTTATTCCCTCTCTCCACCCCTGCCAAGCTGATTATAGCAGTCAATATGAATATGTTTCATGGTACAGTGACTGTACCAGCTCAGCAACTATGTATACTGTGGCCTGCAAGTTTTTTTAATTCAATATTCAAACTTCCAGGGTTTATCAAGTACCTTTTAGACTCATATGCTTGACAAAGAACTTAAAAGCCAAATGAACAGTGAAAAAATTCATCATTTCATAAATCTGAGCTCCATATACTACCCTTTGATATTCCCCACCCAACCACCACTGGTAAAATTAGAGTACCCCCAAACAAGAGTATATATTTGCATGAATGACAACCAGATTTTACTTCAAACCTAGTTATCAGTCAATTGCAATTCAGGCAAGTAATAAGCACAAGATGTTTAGCCAACATGTTAACACAACATATTATACAATTTGTTTAACTATGTCAGGTAAAAACGTATCATGTGCATTTGCACAATATGCAAAGCTTGCTTAGTGTTAACCTTGATTAATTTTGTATGGGATCATGTATTGTGCAAACTGAGCCATTTTAGGATATTCTTCAACATACTGTGTGAACTCAGGAAATTAGTTAATTCTGTAATTAGGTTAACTGTGCTGTGTAAATATTGACTGTGTTGCTTTATAAGCTGGCAGATAAGCTTATGTTTCTGACAGTTTGTAAGTGGCAAAAGAGAATTTCTCATAAATAATAGCTTATCTCAGATAAGACACTTGAATAACACTTTGTCGTTAGTGTGATTATATCCATATTCATTATATTTTAATTCTTCATTCCAGGGGAAAAATGATTCCATCAGATCTTGAAAGGAGAATTGTTGAGGCAAAGCAAAAGGCAAGTTAGTTCCTACCTAAAGTTTCTATTTAATGCCATTCAGATATTCCAACTACATAACTTTTCTCATGCTATATCTCAGTCTTCACCAATATGCTGGATTAAAACTCTCATCATGGCCATCTAAGGATGATGGATCTGGCTCTCTGGATTATTCTTGCTTAAAAAAAAGGCTCTGTCATGAGCTAGATAAATATAACAAATTAAATATAGCTCTTTTGTGTGCATATGGATACTTAATCAACTTTTTAAAGTTTAACTGCCATAAAATTGTGAGAAAGGGAAGAGATTATCCGAAAGAGGAAAAAAAAGGTTTCCAATATATTGGAGATGTTCCCTCAGAGAATGAAATCCCAACCTGCGTTCTAAAATAGTTTTCCTTTAGTGTAGGATCTTGGTGCTGGATATTTAGATCTGGTCTTTTCCAAGTTATGCAAAACCAAAGACACAAATAAAGCACAAAATACCTTCAAAATCCATATTAAGGCACTAACTTTTATTAGACAGCCCCAAATGTCCCAGAATAATGTGCCAACATTTGAATTCTTCAGAGGTCTTTATGAGGCTAGAGTAAATGAAATGGGGTTGGAGAAAAATGGGGAGGAAGTCAGGAGTCTCCATGGGTGTGTGCGTGTGTATGTATGTTGTTTCAAAAATGTCAAGACGGAAGCCACAACTATGCAATCAAAACTCCATGTGTCACAATGCATGTAAAAAAGAGTGGTGCTTCAAAGACATGGTTATGGCTGCTGTTTTTGACATTTTTCCCCTCCCTGGCACCCTAGGTTCCCCACTGATCACAGTGCCGGCCATACCTTGCCCCTAGTCTGCATGTTAAAGTCTCATCACTTCTATAAAATATCCAGTTTTTTTGCCTAATCACAATCAGCCTGCATGAACTTTACTGAATTTCCTTTCATCCTTTTTAAAAGGAGGTTTCATGTGACCAACCACTGGTCCCTGGTAGATTTTCACAGGTAATGCCTCTATCTATAGCATTTTATCGGCCAATCGGCATCCTCAAAACATTTTCTCCTCCAACCACAGAGGACAATACATTCTGTTAATCTGATAAGGCAGCACTAAGAATTAGAGCATCATGTTGCTATTTTGACACAACGTTATGTCCATACAGCAAGAGCTGAGTTACTGAAAAGATCCCCAGTGAGGAAATGCTGACAGTGTTAAGATGAAATGTGCAAGGAGGCTGAAGACATTTACATTAGGTTCTGCCAAATGCTGTGAGAGTTTAAGATTGCACCTCCAACACTCTATTATGTACCCACAGAATGTTTTAGGCAAACAAGACTGAATCATTTTGGCAGTTTGCTGTCCCCTACTGCTGGAAAAGGCAATGCCATGACAAATAAAGTACAATAATAGTTAAGTAATCTCTTGGCTGCCTCATAACATAAGGTGGTCTCTTATGCATTGCCAGAGAAGAGGAAATTAATCTCTACTGAAACAGGTTTTTATTTTCCTGTAGGGATTTGTTCCTTTTTTAGTAAGTGCCACGGCAGGAACTACCGTATATGGGGCTTTTGATCCGCTGATAGCTATTGCAGATATTTGCAAGAAGTACAAGATCTGGATGCACGTGGATGTGAGTATGAAATCTTCCAGCAGTGGATTGCAATTACAGTACTGAGTATGTATGTATGCTAATGAAAAGGCAAAGGATTTAACTGCGCCCAGACTGTGCTCCTTCCTGTGAAAATAAATGTCTTAATAGAGTCTTCAGAACATTCAAAGGATTTCTGTTTCTCAAAGATAAAAGAAAGGCCCTAAAGATGGTGAACCTCTTCTGTTTATTGCCTCTGTCATTTGATACGCAAAGATATAGGCGAAACTCGAAAAATTAGAATATCGTGCAAATGTTCATTTATGTCAGTATGGCAACTCAAAAGGTGAAACCAGTATA